TTTATTATATTTATAAAACTTAGTTGTACTACGCTTTATTCGTTCGTTTATTTTCGCTTTGTAAGTAACTTGAATAAAGCCTATTGACTGATTGATTGAAGTGTTATTTCTTAGTTATCTAAACGCACAACTTGTCCCCCATTTAGCGAACTTAATTTCTTACCAGTTTCTAGATTCTAATGGTGAAGGCCAAATTTCAAGCGTCCAGTATAATAACACTACTTCGATAACAATCAGCCTTGAAACTCTCCTGTCAGTGTCAAAAATGCCGTCATTGCGGCGTAGCAAGCCGAATGCGAATTCTCCCAGTACAACGATGAAAGAGGTTTTAGTGTACTATTCGTCATTTGTTGGTCTGGGCGGTCCGTAGGACCTTTGTCCATTAGTCACTAATGTACGTTAGTCGAATCTGTTAGTCCTGGTTGCCCAGAAACCAGACAATGTCAAGGAAAAAGAGAAAGGGAAAGATAAGAAAAAAGAAGAGCAAAGAAAAAAAAAACAGATGTGCTTAGTTTAAGAGAAAACACCTAGGCTTTTTGACTTGGCGCACGGATTGATTTTGAGGTGAACTAAACAAATTTTTGATTAGGTTTTGTTAGAGTGTAATTTTGAGTTTACTAAAGATTCGCGCTAACTTTTGATTACTGTGCGAGCCGTGGCCGTGAATATTTAGGAACTTGCTCCACTATGTAGTCCACTGAGTCACGCAACAGAGGGTTACTGTGAGATTCCGCTTGACTATAACGTCGCTGCGCCTGAAGCTTGACATAATCCCTCAAGTAAGGAATGTCAAGGTCACTGTGTAGTGTCTCATTTGACACATACCATTTGGCGTTGCAAATTGTCCGCAAAGTTCTGCTTTGCAGTACTTGAAGACCTTGCATGTGTGTCTTGGCAAGTCGCACATGCATAAATAATGGCTGGTCTAATAATCATTTTATATAGTCGAACTTTGCTTATCAAACTCAATTTGGAGGATCTACATAACAAAGGATATAGTTGGCGAAACGCAATTTGGAATTTTTTTTTATGGATGCTGTATGTTTCTGCCAGGTCATGCCTTTATCAAGGGTGACACCGAGATACTTCGCAGAATTTGTCCATGGTACACGATTTCCGTATACAGAAACCTCTGCTGGGAGCCGCGACGTTTTTTGGTACAATAAATAGCCTGCGTTTTCAAATGATTAATTTTTATCAAACACCGTTCCGCCCACTCTAGTACTTCGTCCACCGCACTCTGCAACCCATCGTGAACCAGATCACCAGTACACGACTGGGCGACAAGTGCAGTATCGACAGCATACAGGTAGACTTCACAGTTGCTGGGGCAAGGGACATCATGGATAAAAAGCGAATAAAGGATTGGTCCTAGGACCGTACCCTGAGGAACACCGGCCCGTACTGGCCGTGTTGCTGACAAAACGTTGTTAATATTGATCCGAAACTTCCTTCCTTCAAGAAAGGATTTCAGTAATTTTAGAAGCCAAAAGGAAAGTTCTTTTGGATTGGTTACATGTTCTACCAACCTGACTGCCTGTAGCTCGGTACTATGCTCGGACCGAAAACCGAACTGAACGTCAGGAATCACATGGTGATTTGACGAAAAATTCTCAAGGTGACGATAAATCACCTTTTTGGCGAGCTTAGAAGGAGCTGACAGCAGACTAATGGGACGGTAATCCTGAGGAAATATCGAACCCACCTTCTTTGTAATCATGATGACCTCGGCAGTCTTCCACCCACCAGGGAAGTACTGGATTCTGAGCGTCGCATTGATTATTGACACCAAATATGTCAGGGCTTTCTGCGACAGCAGCTTCAACGACTTGTTTTAGATTTGATCCTCCCCAGGTGCTTTACGCACCTTGAGATCTTTAATATGACTCAGGAGCTACGCTGGTGTGCAATGTGGAACCTCGGAGGGTTTCGCTAATGTGCTATGTAGAGCCTCAGACGAATCTTCTGAAGAGGATTCAGTGCCTCCGCTAACGGCCCCAAAATATCTCCTGATGGATCCTACGATGTGCTGTCCCTCGTCGAGGTCATTATCAAGATCATAGTTGAGAGAGATCTGTTTTTCCATGGCATCAGCGAAAACCTCGACCTTATCCTTCGTGCTGAAGACTATGCCTTCAGGACCGTGGATGTGCGGGAGTTGTTCTCGCTTTCGGTTTCTGAGTGACTTTGCGACCCTCCAGAAAGGAATACTTGAATCAAGCATTCCCGCGAGAAAATCGCTCCATTGCTAGTTGCGGAGTTCGTGTAGTGTGTTTCCCACTTCATAGACAAGATTTGTATCCCTACGAATGTCATCAGGATGACAAGTCCTTTTTTCCTCCTTAATTACGAAATTGCATTGCTATGGATTTCAAGGTTCAGTATTCAACTTATTACAAAATTATTTAATCAATAGAAGTCAAAGAACTAAAATTGGCAATACATTATCAAACATTAAAATCATTTCGGTAGGTGTGCCACAGGGTAGCAAATTAGGTCCATTACTATTTATTTTATATATTAACGATATTCCTGATATTTTACAACACTGCAAAATTCAACTATTTACTGATGATACATTAATATATATATATTTCTTCTTTTGCGGATTTTGCCCATTGTTTTCCTATTTTTTTTATATATATATATATATATAGAGAGAGAGAGAGAGAGAGAGAGAAAATGGGCATGCGGAGAAAAGTATATAACAAAAAGTAGGAAAATCATGGGCAAAATCCGCAAAAAGGAGGAAAGTGGATTCGAGCAGAAAATAGGATAGGTAACCCGAGCGATACGTATTTCTGCTGGTTGGCTTCATCAGGCCTGAGATGAATGCACATATGAAACTACAAAAGTAGATACACATGCCCACACATCCGGATACGGGTGTAACCTGAGGAAACGAAGATGGAGAGGGAAAAAAACGTCACACGAAGTCCACAACAAGAGTCAACCTACACATTGTAGTATAAAACGGCTAGAAGACCTTGAATTTTCAAGGAGACATCTAACCAAAACCACGCGGCCGGTTATAGCCACTTGCTGTGGTACTTCAAGCCCAAAGGATCTACAAAGAGAAAATGATCATGCGGAGAAAATTATATAACAAAAAGTAGGAAAATCATGGGCAAAATCCGCAAAAAGGAGAAAAGTGGATTCGAGCAGAATATAGGATAGGTAACCCGAGCGATACGTATTTCTGCTGGTTGGCTTCATCAGGCCCGAGATGAATGCACATATTAAACTACAAAAGTAGATACACATGCCCACACATGCGAATACGGGTGTAACCTGAGGAAACGAAGATGGAGAGGGAAAAAAACGACACACGAAGTCCACAACAAGAGCCAACCTACACATTGTAGTATAAAACGGCAAGAAGACCTCGAATTTTCAAGGAGACATCTAACCAAAACCACGCGGCCGGTTATAGCCACTTGCTGTTGTACTTCAAGCCCAAAGGATCTACAAAGAGAAAATGATCATGCGGAGAAAAGTATATAACAAAAAGTAGGAAAATCCATTTGTTATATTGTTCGACTTTTTTGTTCACTGCAAATGAAACTGTATTTTCAAAATTACAAATATTACAAAATAAAGCTATGAGAATCATCTTAAATAAAAATAAATATACTAGAATAAATTTTATGCTGAAAGAACTACAATAGTTAAATATCAAAAATTGCATAGCCTACTTGGTTTTCATTTTCATATTCAAGTTGAAAAATCATCTTCTACCAAATCACTTAGAAAATTTTATTGTATTGAACAATAAGTGCCACAATTATTCTACTAGAGAAAGTATATGCTTTCATTTACAAAACTGCAGTAGCAATAGCAATATAAAGAGCAAGTCAGTATTTCAAAAGGGATTGTACGAATTTAATAAATTAAGTAATGATATCAATATGTGTATCAGTTTGAAAATGTTCAAAGGGAAATTGAAAACATATCTCATGGAAAACCGGAATTCATAGTAATGAAATTTTGTATAAAAATATGTAGTCTTGAAGACATAATATATTTGTGATATACTGTGTAATATGTATATTATGGACATTTTAGCATTAATGCTAAATAAATCTGAAACAAACAAACAAACAAATAGCTGCTCTTTTGTCAGACATTTTCTGACGAATGTCCGCAGGCAAAAAAGGTCTGCCGTTTCGTTGTACAGGAAGTACAGCTGTACGCTGTAGAGCTGCTTGAATGAAACTTGTCCACTCCGCTTGAGCGGCATCTATTCCAGACTCATCATCTATGATAGAGAGAGGTTTTAGTGTTCAGCAGCGTATCATGACAGCATCCGCAGATATTCTTTCCAATCGTAAAATGATAATATTTCGATATGATTTACTGTAGTTTGTGTAATCAATGAAAAATAGCAGTATGTTTGTCAAAAAACAAGCGACTGATGACTATTTATGAAAAAGCTTCAAAATAAATTTGTAATGTTGGAAGTATTTACAATAAACGGAAAAATATTTACTTTTGTTATGTATTCTATGCTGCTGCGATATAATCAATCCATTGCATTTTCAATGTAAGCAGTGCTAAAAACACCAGGCAAATACAACCAGAAGAAGAATATTTCGCTGCGTTTGTCGCAAAGAAAACGAGAGCACATGGACATTTAAAAGAGAGATTTAAAAAACATTGTTCATCAGTAAAACTCTACCAATATTTTTTTACTCTTCGCTCATTCTAAACAAATTCATTTAAAAAATTTATGTCTGTCATGTAATTACCATAGTCTTCCTTTTTATTATTGGTTCACATAAACTACACCAGATCATTTCGATTTTTACGATTGTAAATAATATCTGCGGCTGCTGCTGAGCAGTAAAACGTCTTCCATTGTTGTACTGGGGGAATTTGTATTCGCCTGTCTGCGCCGAAATGGCGGCCGTTTTTGACAGTGACAGGAGAGTTTCATAGCATATTGCTATATATGCTGTGCTAATAGTATTTTCGTATCTGCAATAATACAATTTACTCACCACTCTGGTTAGACTAGCTCCACCTGCAACGATGGCCGGTAGTGCGCCCTTGCTTCCCGCAGCCGCCTGAACCATCCCTTGGTGCCTCTGATGTGCCGACGGCGGTTGTACAGTCACCTAAATAAAAATAAAAATATTACAATACAAGAAACAAACCATACCCAAATTCGCTTACTCACTTCAAAGAAAGATACTAATGTTGATGACGTTTATGCCAGAAAGTCGACTCGTTTACAACCGCAAACCACAAAAAATAACTAATTATCAAAATTGTAAATTTAAAATGTTATGAACGATTGGCTAATACACCTCCCTAATTATGTATAAAATTCACTTTTTTGAAAAATAATTCACCCAACATTTTGAGTTTTAAAAAATATTAAAAAATGAAGTGAAAACATCATTATCGACAGGGTGGCCCAACGAAAAGGTCGCACTCCCATTTGTGACTTTCCTAGTGTATTTTGGGAAAAACGCTCGGACTCATCAATTTTGATTTCTAGGGGACATCTATAGCAGTACAATACAGAGTGATCCAAAAATAATATATATATTGTGTGACACATTAGATTTTTAAATGGAAACACCCATTTTTTTAATTTTTAGATTCAACATGACGTTTTTAATAAGTTGTGTAATAAAGTTTATACATATCTTCAATCGTTGTGAAGTTATTTGAGTGTATAATAAAATTCAACTAACTTAATGATAATAATTTTATTTATTTATTTACCCTCATACAAACACATACAAATGTATTTAAATGTAAGAGCTATTACTAAAAAAATAAATTACAAATACAAAACACTTTAAAACGACACAATGCAAAACAGAGATAATATATATAAAATATATATAATAATAATAATGGCATCAAGGCAATATATTGTTTAGAAATACAACCTTGATTTGTCCTACTATACTGGAACGATTTGTTTCTTATTATTCTTTAGTTCATCTAGAAATAATAACTATTTATTCGAATCACATTTCTCATACTTTAGGTTGTTAGTGACATTGTATAGGGATTCAAACTTCGCCTATCACTTAATTTGAGCATTTCAAATCCACTTAACATATTGTTATACGATATATGACAATGGGATGCACGGCAAAAAATAATAATCATGAATACCAGCAAGAAATTTAGTATCAGTCAGACTCATTGTATGTTATAAAAAAACTTTCATTTCAAATTGTTAAGTTACCTACCTAGCTGTGATAAATATTGAACAATGACTTATTCAATTCAAGAAAGGGTAGAAATGACAAAACTGTATTACCAAAATAGGAATACATACATTAGATACATTTATTGTCTTGTAGATCATAAAATGACACAAGACTCGTCCTATGAGGAAGTACATAGTACACATAATTAAAAGTAAAAAATAATTAAAAATAACACAAAACGTAAGTATTTACAAAGTACAAACAGGAACAACTGAAGGCGTACAGACATTCACATATGAAAAAGGTTTTGAAAATATATCACAGTGTATTCAGACAAAAAGTAGACAAATTTTTCAACTAATATTTTTCGTAGTTGACATTTAAAACTAGTAATGCTACTGACATTCCTGGGGTTAGCTGAAAGTTTGTTATATATTCTAATGCAGGTGTATTGTGGTGACTTTTCAAACAGCGTCAGTGTGTGTTTTGGAATACTTAGACTGTTACCTCCCCTTGTATTATAATGTGCAGGATTCTCTTCTATGGATGTTGAATATCAATCTGATTATTCACGTCTAGCAAAGCTGATTCTGATAAGCTTAAGAATCGCATAATATGATTGGTTCAACTTTTTACACACACTGTCCATGTGTTGTTACCAACTGAGCTTTGCATCCATTGCTATTCCCAAGAATGTCGTCGTTTTAGATGTCTCAGAATAGGGGTGTTTGTATAAAAATGTACAATATCTGTCTTTTCAAGGTTTAAAGTCAAACGATTTGCTTGGCATCACTCTTTCATTTCATCTTTTACTTCATTTATTTTTGCAATAATGTCATTGCGTGTAGTTCCACTGACAAGAACTGACGTATCATCCTCATAATTTGTTACAAATCCAGAGAGATGTAAATCACTTACAAATAGAATGAATATAAGGGGTTCTAAAACTGAGCCTTGCGCTGCTCCAATGACACTACCTCTTAAACATAAATAAAATAATATTTCCTCGAGAAGTCCAATTTCAACTGTATCAAAAGCTTTCGATAGGTCAAAGGTGATGCCCGCGACACAGTTATTCATATCGAGCTGTTTATGTATTTGACTTACTCATAAGTAGCTGTCTCTATTGAGTGCAGTGTCCTTGAGTAGGATCTCCCTTTTTTGGAACGGGAACTATCATCGCGACTATCATCAGTTTTCCTCACAGTATAAGATTAGACGGGAGACTTTAAGTTGTTGGAGAAGATATGGGAAGATTGCGTCAAGATTTACGCCGCATGGTCGGATATTTGAGGATCTTCTATGGTACATTTAAGATTTTGTGCGTTGATTTTCGTGGTGATGTAATCGATTGAAGTTTTATACATCCACTGGTTTTGTTTGATGATATGCGGGTTAGTCCGTAATAGTTGTTTGATAGACCGAAGGACTGTAGGATGTCATCGAGTAGTAGACTATTTATTGATGGTTTACTGTAATAGATATTAAGATCTCCACAAAGAACTATGTTATTATTTGTGGTGGCTATTCGATTTAAGAGCGCAGTCAAGTTCTCCTGGAAAATTGTGATGTCTCCTGAAGGAGGCTGATAGACACATAGCAATACAAGTTTTTCATTAGAAGGTCCAAAACTAGCCTGCAAGCCGCAGCATTCGATGTGTTTTTCTTATGAATACTCATCTGGGAATAAGATATCCTTAGCCTCTGCACCGTGATGAACAAATATGACACATCCACCATATTTATATCGATTTCTGCAGAAGCTGCTTACAAGTTTATAGTTCTGAATGTAAGCGACAGCTGCAGCAGTCGTGGTTAGCCATGTTTCGGTGATACAAAGAATATCTGGTGATGCTTCATCTACATACAGTTCTAGGGCATCATATTTATTCTGAATGCTGCGAACATTTAGACGCACTATGTTTACGACATGACTCCTGTTCATTCAAAAGCGGCTCTTTTTGTAGCGATGTGGATGGTAAGCTACAATCCTTAGAAGATTCCAAGTTTTTCTCGGTGTTTTGGTTTCCAATCAACTTTGGGAAAGATGATTTGGGAGCACTTATATTTTGATGATAGATATTCGGATGGTGCATATTTTCTACAGTCCCTATACCCCTATGTGTTTTTGTTCCGTTCTGTATTTCATTTTCTATGGAAGATTCCCTTGGTCTCTTTGTGCTTCCCAACAGTTTTATGTGATTGCAAATGATACGTTTACCCTTATTATTCAGTACATTGGAACTCTCCCTGTAGTAGTGATGTAGATTGAGGTTTAGATTGAGAAGTTGTACTCCGTTTTGTTCACATATTCGATGCAGTTGGTCATTTATACATCTGATAATGTTATTCAAAACGGGCCTATGACATCTCCAATGCGGTACTGCAGCTATTATTACATTGGTAATTTTCAGCACCTTTAAAGCTTCTCTGAGAGGTTCACATTGAATGAAACCTTTTGTCAGAGCATCATTAGAACCGCCATTGATGAGTACATAGTCGGACTTCGTGAAATCAGTTGTTAGTTTTCGTGCATCTTTGACAATATTGTTCAATTGGGAATTGGGATGTAACATCGATGTAACCGCAAACTGATCCAAAGAAAGAACTCTTCGAAGTATATGTATCAGATTCGGCCCTTGCTCATCTGCCACGATTAATAGCTTACACATCTTGTCTTCTGTAGTATTTGCTTTGATACAATTTAATTGATTTCTATCTTACTTCTGTCTGAAGTTGTATGCTATTTGAAGTGACTGCTTGAGTCTGTACATGGATATTGTTTTTATTACTTGGGTCCATCTGCACGTACCGATCAGTAACGACTGTCTTACATTTTACATTATTTATAATCCCTTCAAGTTGTTCTATAGTGTTATCTTTGTACTTCAGCCCCTGTGTTAGTTTCTCTATCTTGCAGTTTAATGACATTCTTCGTTCTTCGCCAGCTTGGTAGGTATTTTATTTCTGACGTCTAATAGTAAATTTTCGTGGATATTTGAGTTTTCTTCAACTTCTCTGTTGCCTTAAATGTGAATGTAGCTGTTGTGCGATTTACTAATCTTCAATTTTACCTGCTGTCGTGTATTCATTTTCCTTTCACTGGACTTGTCACGATTTTTTCGAATACTTGGCAACATGCTTCGTTGGCTATCGTCTGTTTTAAAGCTTTTTATCACCTTGGAATGCTTAATATAATAATATCCTTACCAGTTTTTTCATCCGGATGTGGTGTTCTACACTAGCAACACATGACACACAGTATTTTTTTCATTCTACTGCATAATTTCAGTTTTACGATGCTATATTTGCACTGCGATTCTTGACACTGTATTGTATTGCAAGAGCTACTGCCCGGATGTTTAATGCGTTACATCCAGACAAAAATATCAAGGATAAGTATGTGGCTGAGTTTATAAGAAAATTTGAAGAAACTGGATGTGTCTAATATTCGCCGTAAACGCCATCGAGAAAATCGACCAGATGAAATGAAGTTGCATAAATAGTAGTTTTGGGACACGTAGCACTTGACAACACTCAAAGCACTCGGGGACTGGTGACTTCTTCAGGATTTACACGCTCAACAGTACAAAGAATTTTGAAAGACAATAAATTTTACCAGTACAAAATAAAACTTGTCTTTGAGCTCAATGAAGACGATTTTGATAGAAGGTTGTTTTGCTAAATAATGTCCCAACGTTCAATAAACAATGAAAATCTGTTATTTAATATTTGTTTCTCGCATGAGTGTACGTTCTATTTACATGGTGCTGTAAATAGACACATAATTGAGATATTGGAGTACATATCTCGAATCCACATTTGTTGAAATAATGGAAAATGACGTTAATTATAATGAAAATTACATTCATTTCCAACAAGATGGTGCACCGCCGCACTATGTGGCTCCAGTACGACAGTTTTTGGATACCCATTTCCCGAATCAGCGGATCGACAGACGAGGCCCCATCGAGTGGCCGCCGAGATCTCCGGACCTTTCTTTAGATTACTTTCAGCACTTCTTACCACATTGACCTACCTCTTTATAGCAAATTGATTTTTACTTTAACTGTAGACTTGATTTTAATTTAAAGTTTTTTTACTATAGGAACTATATTGATTATCATTTTAACGATATAATCCATTATCATAATTTCTCGAATTTTATTATAAACTCAAATAACTACACAACGATCGAAGATAAAAAAATAAAAATTCAAAAAAGGGGGTTTCCATCTAAAAATTTGTAACGTGTAGCTGAATATCTTATTTTTTGATCACCCTGTATTGTACGGCTATAAATGAAAGGACGCATCCCTAGAAATCAAAATTGATGTGTCCGAGCGTTTTCCCCAAAACGTACCAGGAGAGTCACAAATAGGGGTGCGACCTTTTCGTTGGGCCACCCTGTGTATGCAGTTATCTAAAATATACGCTTTTAGGTAATTCACTGCCACATATAAGGATACTATCCTTTTGTGGTTTCATGTATTTCTTCAGTAAAACTTACGCAAAACTGTACGAGTAGATACATTATTATTAGGTTACCTGTGCCTGCGGACTACTCCCAGATGGTTTCTTGACTATCGTGGCCGGCGTGATGCTCAGACCGCTGGGCAAGCCTGCCGCTGGGAGAGCGCTGGCGGGAATGTTGGGCGGCAGGCCGGCACCGGCAGCTGCCGCCGCAGCTGCGGCAACTGCAGCCGTCGCGCTTTCTTTCAGCTGTTGCGACTGTTTCAGTTTCTTCAGCAATACCAACTTCATCTCTTCGGCGCGTAGCTCCTCGCGGAGTCTTCGCAAACCGCGCTCCCTACAGGAGAAATATATGAAGAAGCCAAACATTTTAGACACTGCGATTCAAAAAATAGAGATCGACCAATACAGAATATTTACCGATACAAGCCGATATATCTGCGTTCCGGTTTTTCTGTACATAATCGAGTGTGTATGTATTGCATACACAAGTTTCAAGAAACCAGAGGCATTTGAGCATCCGCATATAGGAAACTCTGCTGTTGTCAGTTACGACAGCAGCCTTATTTCTGATAAATACGAAAAAGAGAGTTTGTGACCCGTTGATCAGAGAATGGTAAAACAGCACTTACACGAATCATCCCATTCAATTTAAGAATGTCTACGGATTACCTTCACTTTTCCTTTAACAGCTGTGGAAACCCTTCAAATCCAAATGAAAATTGTGCAATTCATAAATACAACTTCAAACTAGTCGCAGCAAAGGTTTCGTAAAATTGCGTTTCAGCCCATAGTTTACGGTTTTCTTCATGATCCAAGCAATTTCAGTTTCACGGTAGCACAGGGTGGGGCAGAAGTGATGACCCCTTTAGAGAAGGAATCAAAGAAAAACTTGTATGTAATCCTATTTTTTTATTTAGGTTTGAACACAAATTCAGCAAGATGGTGCCTTTAGCAGCAATGATGTCTATTTCTAAAGTTTTGTGCTACTTTTCTACACATTTCTGGGGGTATGGTGGATGTTTTCATAACGGGTCTTTAGGTCATCTAAAGTCTGGGGGCAATGTTTAAAAAATTTCCGTTTCAAATAACCCCACAGAAAAAAGTCGCAAATGCTTAAATCTGGCGACACGAAGCGACCAGGAAACATTTGTCCCAATTTCGCCATATAAATCCAAGCTGTATGTGCCGCAGCCTCATATTGTTGGAACCACAGATCTCCTAAATTAGTTTTGCCACTCAATTGTTAAAATTGTGGCTCAAAAAAGTTTTGCAGCATTGAAACATAACGATCAGCTGTAACAGTTACTGTTCGACCATTCTCCTCAAAAAATAAGGTCCGATGATGCCATCGCACACCACACAAGTCACTTTAGGTGAGAGAAGAGGTCTCTCATAAAGTTGTTTTGGGTTAGTGTCAGCCCAGTACCGAAAATTCTGCTTATTCACAGAAAGGTGAGAGTGGGCCTCGTCGCTGCTGAAAAAAGTTTGTTTCGGGAATTCGTTCAAGCATTTCTTGACAATGATTTACACGGTTAATGTAATCATCAGGAATCAGTTCATGAACAACCATGATTTTATAGGGATGGAATGACAGTTCATGCAGAATTCTCCTACAGAGCGGAGCGCCTTGGTGACAATTTAACTACTGCCCTCAAAGCCATCACATTTTCAGGTGTTGTGATAGATCTGAGTCTTCCAGTTGCCTTAGGTCTTCTAGTGGATCCAGTTTCTTCCAATGTATGCGCCCAACGTCTAATTGTCTTACCGCTAGTGACCGTAACATTACGCGAAATGTTGAAATGACGGAGCGGTCATTTTTCAAAAAACGTACGCACAGCGAAGCCGCGAACCTCACCTGTCCAAATCATGGCGTCAACTGAAAACGGGACGATGCAACAACACAAATTATACATGCGACACTCTGTCAAAAATCAGGTTATATCAACGCCAACTTGAGTCCTATGCATTTGGTAGGATTCCTGTCACTGTGGCATTTAGGATTTAGGGTATATCAAAAAGATTATTTTCGTTGTATGGATACAATTTTAATTCTAGCACAAACAGTTGGAAATGTTATCCCTTCAGATCGTCGATGTACAAGATGTGTTGTCTATTTTGGATAATAAATGTGTATTTATACTTGGACTTGTGATTTGGTCAATTGTGGTGTACAGTGATTACAATTCCAGCATGTAAGTATGAATGTTACTATAAGATTCTACCTAAAATTCATTAACCATGACTGATTCAATTCACATCTTTGTGCGCAGTAAATCAATACATATTACGTAATTACAATATTTTGTGTACGACATATCAATATGAACCGAAGGCAAAATTAATACATAGGGACACCATCACTACTCTCTAAAACTGTTGATGTCTTTTTCTCTCATCATGTTTCATTGTTTGGCTTGTGATCAAAACAACATATTAGATTAATAAAGATCAAGCATTTAAAATACTTGATTTGAACATTCATTTTTCCAGAAATACTCCAGCAGTACCTATGAGACATGGATTTCCAGACAGAAATTCCTGTACATTTTGTACAATGCATGGGCAAGATGTGAAACGGAGTTTTGAAATGTCTAAATCCTATTGCTGTTTATAATAGCTATAGAGTAAGACATTCACACATCATATAGGAAGATAGCTGTACAAACAATAGACTTGAGAAGTCACTATCCAATGTTAACTAAAGCTACCACCAGTGAGCAAATAATTGGCAAGTTTTATATTTCCCACTATATCCAAATATGACCAAATCCTTGAAATATCATTATGTGCTCAAGTTGAGGCAGTAAACAATTACTAACCAATACTGAGGTATGTAGGGTAAGAGGAGATTATTTTTATTCATGAGATTCTCAACCAAAGTATATTATGTAATTGGTTCTCACTATTAATCTGTGAAGACATTAAGCCATTTGGAATATACAATTTTTCCATCCATATTTTCTACATTATAATTTTTATGTAGTTTGTAGTTTTAAAGGAATTGTATAGTTTCAGATCATCCTTCAACTTCTGCTCAGCGACCAATACAGCAGTTAGAACATACATCTTTGGCCACCACTTCTACAGAGCAAGTAAATCTTAGTTTACGTCAAGTGGATCACACTGGAGTAAGTCTTTTGTCTTTTTGAATGAAATAGACAAATACAACAAAAACGTTTTCAACTATTTAGGAAGTTTTTTCTGTTTTAATCAAATATTTGAACCTGTGGCCATTTGACAGTCTGTTGATTATATAAACACTTAAAACTACCAATCTTATGAATTAATATTTATTTACGAATGAAACATACTACAGTGGAGCTCCGGTAATCCGACAAACATTATGCAGGGCAGTGTCCGACTATCGAATTTGTCGGATTATAGAGCACTGCCTAAGACCCCCCATAGTCCGGAATTTTTTACAAAAGAGTACCTTGTAATCCGACAAATTACATATCCAATGGTAAGATTATATATGTTATGTATATGTATGTACTTTGAAATACAAATCATACATAGTTTGTGTATGTCGAATTTAGTAAATTAAATAATAATATTATATATAAAATTAAGCATAAATGCACATACATATGTACCAAAATAATCAAGAATTATTAATCAAAATCATTAATGAATTTATCAAATTATGAAGCTTGGAAATATTCATCATTTTTTTTAAGGTTGTTATAACGCGAGATCAGAGCTTTGTCCCTCAGTCGTCTCAAAAGTAAAAGTTCGTTGTAGGATATACCATTCTCTTCAGCCCATTGTAAACCTAGCTCAGGCGTTAATTGCGTCTTGTACTGTGACTTGTGGAGCAGTTGCAATCACGTCGTCGTTATTTTCCTGACTGTTTGTTGTATAATTAGAAACCTCTTTTATAATCTCTTCGTCAAACATTTCATGAAAAACATTTTCCTCTTTATCCATTCCACTGCACCAGATTTCCAAATCTTCTGGACTTATCTGTGTTTCAGTAGCGACTTGTTCTATAACTTCCGAAGTTACACTGATTTGTGGAGCGTTGCTAGGAGTGGTGACTATATCTGGCCATAACTTTTTCCAAGACGATTTAATAGTTGATAATTTCACGACTGACAAAGAGCAAAAACCAAGTCTTTCATATTAAATTTAAAGTTTTTTCTATTGGTTGGTCTTTTGATACGGCTCTCAGAAGTAGGTTTTTCTTATAGTCTTGAATCAGTGCAGTGCAATTTGGCGGAAGAAACATCGCAGTGATGCATTTATCCTCAGTTGTTGTTTTTCTTCAGACGGATGACCGGGAGCAACAACGCTTTTTGAGGAAAATTATGATCTTTTAACCATTTTCTAACTTCAGGTATGAAGCATTCATCAAACCACTTTTTGAAAAGATCTTTTGTCATCCATGCACTTTTTTGTCCGTAATAGTGTACAGGTAAATCAATGTTTTTGAATGCCCGTAGTTTATTAGATTTCCCAATGACCATCATCTTAAGCGCGTGTGTGCCCGCAGCGTTAGCACATGGTAGTATGGTTACACGCTCTTTACTTACTTTTCGTCCAGGTACGGATTTTTCGTTACAAGAAACGAAAAATTTGTTAGGCATCACACGCCAAAAAAGCCCTGATTCGTCTGCATTGTACACCTGTGACGGGTCAAGATTTAAATCGTTCACCTTTGCAAAAATCTTAATTTAAAGGGCTCTATGCAGGTGGCATCGTTAGAAAGTTTCTCTCCTGTAATAGTCATTAAACGAATGCCATGACGACTTTTAAAACATTCTAGCCATCCTTTGCTGGCCACCAAATCATCTTTTTTTGTTATTTCCTTATGAAAAAACTTAGCTTTCATGGCCAACATGGGTCCTGAAATTGGTGCATGCCTATTTCTTTCCTGAAGAAACCACGTGTGCAAAGCTTCTTCCACTTCAGAATGTTCAGCTTTCTTGAGTGTCTGTCTCTTGCCTGGCCCACAGTCAGTAGTTGACACAAACTTCTTGATCTTCTCGTGGTTTCTTTTAATGTCATAAATTGTAGATCGGCCTACGCCGTATTCACTTGCTAAACTACTGAAAAGTTTCATTGCTATTTAAGCGGTCTAAAATATCACATTTTTTCTTTAATTGTCAATGTTTTGTGCTTTCGCTTCTGAGTTTGTGATGACATTACTAGGTACTATACTTAATACACAATGAATAAATAGTAAACAATGAACGCACGCTATTCCGTACCGCTATCACAAGTAGTCAGTTTCAAACTAAGTAAAACAATGCTTACGCGTCGAGCACGATAGTGGTGGCGCGTACCAGTTGAACCTGTTCAAACCTGCGTGATTTACATTAGCGAAGTTTGTCAAATACGTATGTATGTAATATTCAAAGACATGTCGGATTACAGGGGGCGCCGGATTAGACAGGGGCCGGATTATCGATGGTCCACTGTATTCAAAAACATGTCGGATTACAGGGGGCGCCGGATTAGACAGGGGCCCACTGTATTGAGTCAAATTGGCAAAAACAGTGATCATCAGAACCCGTCTAAACTTTACCAGTAATACAGCTATTGTCCATCCGACCACAGACAGCCAACCATGGATAGCTGATATGTGCAAATCAGCATGGTCTAATCTAGTCTAAATGGTTAGAGATTTTATATATGTGAGTAATTGGAAAGATATATACCAATTCATGTAAAGCACGAAGTCACAGCTTTCTTTTTCAGTTTAAGAATCTAGAAGACGTGTCCAGAAAAATTATTCCGCGCAGAGGTGTGACCAGAGAGATACAACGGACTTCAAGAAGCAGGACGTGATGTAGGGTGTTCCAGGAGGAAATTGACTTAGTGAAATGCTAGATAGTATGGACCGAGACGGAAGTTTATCTAGACACGCCAAAACGTTAACATCACATACCTCAGGCACTATTGAAATGATTTTGAGGAAATTTTGCAAAATATTAAAGTAAATTAAGAGTAACAAAAAACTAGTTGGAAAATTAAAAAAATCAAGGTCGGACTTGGTCTTTCAAACTACCTTTGTGTTTTATTAAAATTATCAAATGTTAAGATATACATTAAAAAAATTTATTATGGACAAAGAAGCCAATGAATGGTGCTTATTAATTATTAGCAAAATTGCGCTTCTTGTGGTTTTTTAAATAAAATCTATTCTTTATTCAAACATATTTCTACTAAATACTAATTGCCGTTTTCCTTGAAATCGTGTTGGTGATGTTTGAAATGCTGAGTTTTGCGTCACAAACTAATAGAATATAGGCATTACATAGTTTTTACAGCATTAGTACATTATAATGAAGCACCTACCTAATTTATTAGCTGTGTAACAATCTTATTGTATGTGACCTATTTAAGTAGATTTTAACGATATCCATTAGTACTCGTACACGATCCAAGTTAAATATACAGGGTGTTCCTTATTGATATACGAATATTTAAGGGTGTGAATCTACATGGAAAATTAATGTTAGTTTGCTTTATAAACTAAGGTCCAAAAACGTTTCCTTACAAAAACTCGGGGTGTTGAAGTTTTAGGAAAAAAATGGAAATTAATTAATATTTTCAGAACCGCTTCAGATATTTCACTGATATTTAGTACGTAGTTAAAGTTAATGAAGTTGCATATTTTTCAATGCAAAAATAATTTTTAGCTTTAACAGTGGCGTGTGTACGGGTATTGACCTCGATATTTTTTAAGAAAAAAATGATACGCCAATGGTTTTTTGCCAATTAAAAATTATTTTTGAATTCCCCGTTCAATTTAATATAAATGATCTCTCTTGAATTGTTTTCCTTTGCTGCCATTTTTGAGTAAAAGAATAAACCGTTCTATTGTCTAACTTGCAAAATTATTATTAATTTAATTGGAAAAATTAAACACATCAGGGGTAATGAACAACAACAACTAGCAACATAAACAACATCAAAACCAACGAAATGATTACAAAAATTGTTGAAAATCAAGAATCAAAAATACTCGAAAGAGCTGTCTACTCACAACTAGTGGAGTTTTTCGAACAAAATCACTTATTTCCTCTACATCAGTCAGGTTTCAGAGCTGGTTACAACACTACTTGGTCTTTATTACATCTTACTGATTCCATCATTCACAATTTAGATAATCAAATCAACGCTCGAAAGCCTTTGATATGGTCAATCACCAGATACTACTGAGTAAGTTATCTCATTATGGAATGTCAGATATAGTTCTAAGGTTCTTTGAGTCATACTTGCTAAATCGTCAACAAACAGTGAAAACTGATCAGGGAATTTCTTCCTCTGAGCCAGTTCCTACGGGAGTCCCACAGGGCTCAGTATTAGGTCCCTTACTATGTTCGATTTATACGATCGATCTGCAAGACTGTTTAGTCCACTGTAGTATGCAAACTTATGCAGATGATACTCAGTTAGTGTTTGGTTTCGATCCATCAAAGGTTGATGAAGTTTCTTTTAAAATTAATTTAGATTTGGCTAACACCAGTGATTACTGTAACAAACACTGCTTGAAGATCAATCCTAATAAAACTACTGCAATGTTGTACTGTTCGAAGAACTCCTACCGTGAAATGAAGCAGAGGGTTTGTGTTGTTTTGGATGAGACACTCATCCCTTTTGTGGATTACGCCAAGAATCTCGGTGTTACCATTGACTTAAATATGAGATTCGATCGGCATGTCTCTTTCTTATCTAGAGTAACGTATATGCGTTTGAAACTCCTCTATTCTAATCGATTCATCCTGAATTTTAAAACCCGAAAAAAGCTCGCTGAAAGTCTTGTGTTGTCTGTTATTTCTTACTGTCTTGTTCTTTATTACCCATGTTTAGACTACGTCCACAAAAGGAAACTCCAGAAAATTCAGAACAGCTGATGTAGGTTTATTTTTGGATTGCGCAAGTTTAGTCCCGTCTCAGATAAAATCAAAGAACTCAACTGGTTGGGAATCGATAAGTTATTTTTATATCTTTTGACCGTCTTCACGCATAAAGTTCTATTATCTAACAGACCAGCTTACCTCGCTAGCAAATTAGTTCATCGTGGTAGTTTTGTTACCAGAGCTCTTAGATTCAATGCTAATTTTAACATGCCTCCTCACAAAACCTCGATCTTTGAAAGAAGTTACACCTATAATGCTGTCAAGCATTACAATGCAGTCAACAGTGGCTATCGATCCAAACAGGTTGCTTATTTTAAGAAATTAATGAAAAGTCAGCTGCTGGAGTCCATTTAGTTCAGTTTTTCTTGTGTTCATGTGCTTTTTTTTGTTTGACTATGTTCTACTATTTTTGTTTCAAATTTAAAACTCTTACAATACTATCTGCATTTGTCTTGTGCAGTCAATGTTGTCATTCTTATGAACTGTATTTTTTTTTTGTATGTTATTATTTTGTTTATGTGTTTAAGTAATTTTTTTCCTGTTGTGGGGTTGGGTGTAAGAGTAGCCGTCTGGTTAAACTTCGCCTCACTGCAGCTAATAAAGGTATTATTATTACTATTATTAAATGGCCCCCTTCACTTAGTATGCATGCTTCCGCCCTCATGGAATTGCGCACTCGTTGAAATATCCCTGGAGTGTTTTTTATTCTATCACAAGCTGCAACTATTCATTCTCTTAATTCCTCTACAGTCTTAATGGGACTTGTGTACACTAGTGTCTTAAGATAGCCCCACAAAAAGAAATCTAAACTGTTGAGGTCTGGGGACCTTGGTGGCCATTCTTGGGGCCCACCGCGGCCAATCCAACGATTTGGATAAACAGTTTGTAAATAATTACGAACCGCTACACTAAAATGCGCTGGTGCACCATCATGCATTTACCACATATTGTTTATTATTACTAACGGAACATCATCAAGCAGCAAAGGCAACTGTTGTTGAAGAAAATTGAGGTAAGTCTGTCCGTCAAGTCGTCCCGGCAAGAAGAATTGGCCAATAAAGTGGTTGCCAATAATTCCTGCCCATACGTCAACCGAAAATTGGTGTTAGAAATGGGTTTCGGTTACGGCATAGGGATTTTCTTCTGTCCACAAATGATTATTGTGGAAATTCTGAATGGTATTTTGAGAAAAATTAGCTTCGTCCGTGAACAGAATCATTGATTCAAATTGCGGATTTTGTGTAATTTTTTGAAGATACCACTGATAAAAAGTCACACGCCTTAGAAAATCAATGGGAAGTAATGCCTGTACCCTTAAAATATGGTAAGGATATAACAAAAAATCCACTAAAATTCTCCAAACAATTTGATGGCAAATATTTAAGTATCTAGCGATCTTCCTCGTACTCGTTTCACAATGTTCTTCGACTTCGTGCAGCACTGCTTCCTCAATTTCAGGTGTTCTCACACTTAGAGGTCTACCTTCAGATGTTCCTTTTCGGACAGAACCAGTTTCAACAAGACGACGATGAATATTAGAAAAGGTTCGTCTATCTGGCAAAGCACGATCGGGATATCTCTGGTGATAAATCCGTCTGGCTTGCTCACCATTACCGTCGGCAAGGCCATATACGTAATGCATTTCCGCCATTTCTGCATTTGAATAATTCACCATTATTAACAAGATTGTAAAAACTAAATAAAGAAACAGATTTGAATAACAGAGACTTGTCAGATGTCAAAAGCCAGTGACATATTCCAGAGCAACTAGATATTTATTGCTAAATTGCATTCTTCAATTATTACATTTTCTCGGAGAATAGAAGGGTTTTTATTTTTTTACTCAAAAATGGCTCATCGAAGGAAAACAATTCAAGAAATATCATTTGCTTTAAATTAAACGGAAAATTCAAAAATAATTTTTATTTGACAAAAAACCATTGGCGTACCATTTTTTTCTTAAAAAATATCGAAGTCAATACCAGTACGCGTGCCACTGTTAAAGCTAAAAATTATTTTTGCATTGAAAAATATGCAACTTTATTAACTTCCACTACAAACTAAATATCAGTGAAATATCTGAAGCGGTTCTGAAAATATTAATTAATTTCCATTATTTTCCTAAAACTTCAACACCCCGAGTTTTTGTAAGGAAACATTTTTGGACCATGGTTTATAAAGCAAACTAACATTAATTTTTCATGTAGATTCATACCCTTAAATAGTCGCATATCATTAAGGAACACCCTGTATACACAGGGTGTACAGTTAGTAGTAGATCAACGGAAGTCAGGTGATAGAGGGCCTCCAAACCTATCGAATGAACCCCTATATGTGTGGTCCGAAATTTTATAGTTCAGGAGATATTTGCAACTTTGTGAAATTTCGAAAAAACGGGATAATGAACTTTCAATAGCAATTACAACTTAACCATTAGTTTAGGGCTGTTAATTTTTTTGAGATGAGCTAAATGGTTAGTTTTAGCAATGGTCATGTCATTTTTTATCAGAGCTAATTAGAAATCAACGCAAAATATCCTACAGTCCAAACGACTTGATGGAGTTTGACATATGAGGTACTGTTAGATTAGTCCTAGCAGTGCGAGTTATACTGTGTGTATTAACATTTTGTAAAATCAAAACGGCGATTTTTCACGCAAATAGCCAAATCAGCTTAATGAGTTTGGGCATTCAACTCGGCATTCCAGGTGCGGGAGCGTTCAACCTTAGGTCCGACCGAAATTACTAAGTCAGGCAATGGTCCAGAGTGGAATGTGTGTCTAACGTTTGGCATCTGAGTAGAATCATGTCATATTCTTCGCGAAGTTATGCAGAAATGCATTACTATTATGGTGCTGCCCTTGGAAATGCTCGAGCAGCTGCTCGCAAGTATCGGGAGTATGTGGTTAGAAAAGGTGGACCACAACAGGCGGTATATCCAGACTACCGGGTTTTGCTAAGCGTCCATAATGCGTACAAGAGCCATTGCCCGAAGCAGAAACATATCCCATACTTCAGTGCACACAATACTACGCTCGAAGAACATGCGTCCTTACCATGTACAAAAAGTACAAGAATTGCTTCCAAGCGACTATGCACAACGGGGTGAATTTTGTGAGAATATG